ATTCTCGTAATAACCTTATTATTATAGATATTTTCCTTCTAAGGATACATCATGGGAATACCGAAATCCAAAATGTTTAGAACAGAATCAGCAGCCATTTTTTTTTTATTATTAGAGGACGCTTACGCAGGTAATCATTCCATGTTTGGAATACGCATTTCCTAATATGGTAGGATGAAAATATCCCGTAAAATACCGCAAAATTACGGCACGCTGTAACTTATGGCGTTACGTTGACAGATATACCGGTATATTAATATATAATTTAATATCTGGAGTACAATCAGCATAATTACTTAAGATGAGATAAGGAGGAACCAGGAAATTGTAGGGGGTAACAGTTTTCAGTTTAATAGTATTTTGTTTTCAATTTAATCAATAATAGGTTACGTAATTTATTCAGAGAAGAATAATATTATAAATAACAATCAGGCTGGGTTTAGAAAAGATTACTAGATTGCTGATCAAATTTTTACTCCTAAAAAGAGTAGTTAGTGAATACCTGAAACGAAAAGCTTTTGATACTGTCAGGAGGGATGGCTTATTTTATAAATTATTAACGAATGGTATTAATGGAAAATGTTATCATTTAGTTAAAACATGTATAACAATACTAAGACATGCATTCACTTCAGGAAATATCTATGATATTTAACGGGGAGGACGATGAACAGGAATGAACTATAAGGCCAATGCTTAAACGATTTAAATAATACATGGATCAAGTAACATTGAATAATTATAAAATCAACTCCCTATTTTATGCAGATGACCTAGTATTGATTAGGTTTAACTCACAAGAGTGCTGTCACAATTGTAAACTCCAGATAAATCAATATAACAAGACAACGTTTAGCAGACAAAGCTACTAAAGCAATGTGTGTACTGTTAAAAGCAATAGCAAGAACGTTTTTGCATCTTTTTCAAATATCAGGCTAATCGTGTTTATAAGTATTAACAACTTGGAACAAAAATTCTAGGTGTGAATAAATTCTCCTCAATTGCCGCATGTAGAGTTGAATTTCCGTTACTCATAGATATTCAGAAAAATACTGGTGCCGTATTGCATATTTACCAGACAGTAATATTACAAAACAAGCTTTTCAACAAAATTTACATTAATTTACGTGACTGGAAAACATATACTGTCTATCACACCTCAAAAATAAATAAATTATTATTATTATTATTATTATTATTATTATTATTATTATTATTATTATTATTATTATTATTATTATTATTATTATT